AAAAAAAAAAGTATTTGTACTTGTTTAATAAAAAAAGTGTTTACTTATTGGTTCTTCCCCTTCTCGAGCTATCATGTGAGGTTATTACTCAATAATAATAATAACTTAGACTTTTTGTAATAATCTCATTCAATGCAAGTAAAATGATTTAATTTTAGTCATATAATATGGGAATGGAATTAATTAAGAGACAAGAAAGATTAACAAGCTCAAAAAAAAAAAAAAAAAAAAAAAAAACTATCTTGGCTTTAATTTTGATCAATTCTAAAAATCCAAGATGGTATATGGTTAAACGGTCCAATAGTTCTATCCTAACAAAATTTTAAGCTCAACCCGGGTTATGGTTCTTTCTTTTCATAGAATCCAATCCAAGTGGGCCTACATAGCGACAATGGAATTGAATCTACCAACCCATCATCATGTTGAAAGAGAGATCATTTCCCTAAAAATTTTCTCATATGTTTTTTCATTGTCCAACAGGTCCTCCTCAGAAATTGCTTCCAATGAAATATATATTTATGATTTTAGCTTTCACTTGAATCAATGGCATTAAACTTTGATTAAGGACTGAAAATCAATTTCAATGGCAACCTTTTCATCAACACAATCCACCCATTGAATTCCAAAACACAATTTGCCCCCAAACCATTCCCAACTTTATGTTATATATACGCATTCTCCTCCGAACTTCAAGGGTAAAAAGTTTCATTGCAATAACATTCTGAATTCTATATCTCTTTGGACAATTCTCAAGGTGGTCATTGCATTCTTAATTTTCCGGAAAAAATGTTGCCGCAGCTCTTCAAAACATGTTATGTTCTTGTGGTGCTTTTATTACTAGCCAATTCTGGAATGTCTGCAAGACCAACCTCTGAGCTTCCCTCTGCTCCTATAACTTCAGCAGTATCTGAATCTATGTTTCTTCCAGACACCCAGATTACTGAATCTGAACCAGGAGCTCTCTCTCCGACATATTCTTCTCTTCCTCCTGCCGCTGATGTTCTTGAAACCAAATACAATGAGACTCTTTCTCAGGACAATCCATCTCCTCCTCTAGCATCTCCTCCCTACGCCAGTGATGTCAGTCAGTCGGTTGATGCCTCGGTTCTTGACACCAGAAACGATGAAAATCTATCTCAGGTGATCATATCTGTTCCTCCTCCTTCTTCTCCATCAACCGTGCAGGATTCCCCGGCTGTTGAACCCAAAAACATTGAAGATCTTTTTCAAGAGAACACCTCTCTTCCTCCTTCTCCTTCATACACCGATGTTCCTGCTCTTGACACCACCGATGGTGGAAGTTTCTCGCAGGAGAATTCCTCTGTTTCTTCTCCTTCTCTTTATGCCGACGGAAGTGCTCTCTCCGATGACGTTAAATCCCCAGCTATTTCACCGTCATACCCTGACACCCCTGCTTCCGAAGCAACCAACGGGGAAAGTTTTTCCGATCAGGGGAACCAATATGGTACTTCAATTGTATATTCTTCGGCCCCTGAAACAAAAACAGAGGCAGACATCTCTCCAGAGTATTCCTCTTCCGTCGCCGCCGCTCCTCCTTCCAATGCGGAAACAACACAAAACCCTGAAAATGTACCTGAGATGAATGACTACATCTCCACACCCAAATCAGCAGCGCCTGCACAGGTAGTGCAACTCCCCTTCCCAGAATCAGACGCAGAGCCGACAACCCAGATGGCTCCTTCAACGGTGAATGGTGACGGTGTTGATTTGGCGCCGATTAGCCATCACACGATTTTGCCTTTCAATTATAGGGCAGAGGATGAACCTGTCGAACCATATGAAGATGAGGAGTCGTCTTGGGACAGAATGAATGGGGCGCTGGCAGGAGTTCTTGTAGGTGTTTGTGTAGTTGGAGTGGGAGGTTTCGTGTACAAAAAGAGGAAGAACAATCTGAGGGCACAGTACGAGAGCTTGGCTAAGAAAGGAGAGCTCTAAATTCTAAAAGACTCAACTCATCAACTTCCATGACTCTCCCTGTTGAAGCCTTTCTAGGTTTAGAAATGTGTCTAGTAATCATAAAGGACCAGGAATTGAACTGCTGTTTGCTTGAGGTATTATGAAGTGGTGAATTTCTCTAATGTAAAACATAAATTCTTAATTGAGATGAATAAGTATGCTATAATTTTTTGGACTGTTTGCTTAATTGATTTTTGCAAATTGCATGAAATCAAAATAATTCTGGATTAAATGTGAATGTATGCCAAAGTGGAAAAATACCAGCAATAAAGAAAACATGTATTGCTTAAACATAAGGTGAACTATTTTAATTGCTATTAATTGA